ATATTACATTTTTTGTTTTTGACTTGGGCATGTTCAGCTCTTAAGGTTAAATTTGCTGTTGCTTTAACCTTCGTGTCATCACATTTTATCGTGGTTCTCCTAATGGTTTCTGATGTTCTAGAGAGGGTAAAATGTATTGTGTTGTCTTTGTTGGGGGGTTGTGTGAACACCAGTGTGCACAGGTGAGTCTGTGTTTACAAATGATTGCATACATTTTCACATGTTTAGGTAGAGGCCAGAAGACAACTTCTGGTATTGTTTCTCAGGTGCTGACCCCCTGTTGTGGTGGAGGGGGGGTAGGGGTTTTATCTTTTTGTTTTTTAGACAGGGCTCTCACTGGGATCTGGAACTCACCACACAGGCCAGACCAGCTAGCCAATGAGCCCACAAATCTGCCTTTCCAGCTTTGGGGTTATAAGCTATATGTTGGGGTTATAACCATACCCAGATCTTTCATGTGGATTCTGGGGCCAAACTCAAGTTCTCACCCTCACAAGGCAAGTTCTTTACCAACCTCAAAAATATTTTAGTGTCAAAATTAAATTCATTGAACGGAATAAAAGGAAAACCAAGACTATGGGGTTTATTAGATCAAAATCAAGCACACAGAATTAAAATTACACAGTGCTAGTAAATAATATTAGTAGTAAGATCTTACATACTCTAAGCAGAACATTCATAATACATTTTAATAGCACAATTATTAGCTTGCTTTTTTTTTGTTTTTTTGTTTTTGTTTTTGTTTTGTTTTGTTTTGTTTTAATAGAAGGCCAGAAGTAGCAATGGTAGATCTATTTTGTAGGTGGGAAATTTGAGACAGAGAATCATTAAGTAACTTTTCACTCTAGCTTCAAGAACTACCCTGTGCCTATCTGTCACTTACACACTCCAGACTAGACTAGCCCAGCCAGTCTGGAGCTGCATCCTCTTCTGCTTCCTCCACCATATCCGTTCTCCAAGCTACACCAGAGCGATGTCTCACTAACCAGAAGTTGATGATGTCACATCTCTGCTTAGAATACACGCAGCTTCTGGCTATCCTATTTGGAGTGAAATCTGCATTATTTGATTTGGCCAATGAGACTCTGGATGACCTGATCTGTGACTCCTTTCTCCCTCCTTATTGCATCCAGCCCTCCTCTCCCTTACCTACTTCAGATACTCTGGCCTTCCACTGTTCCTTCTACACACTGTACCTGATCCTGACACACCTGGACACCAGGCTCCTCTGTGTTTTTTATGTTTCAGTGGTCCCATCTCAAGAACGATTTTGTTTTCTTCAGAAAAATCTCTCCTTCAGAAAAATCAGTCCAAAGGGCTGGAGACACGGCTCCACATTTAGGAAGCCCTTACTCTTTTTTCTAGAGGATCAGGGTTCAATTTCCAGCAGCCACTCAGTAGGTCACACTCATCACTAAGTCTGGTTCTAGGAACCCTTCAAGAGTACCAGGGACACACAAGATGCACATACATGCATGCAGGCACGCATGTATACACAACAGAAGTAAATAAATGTAAGAATGGAGGGATGAGTCTGAGACGTTGGGCTCCTGCTATCTGCCTGAAACAGGTCTACACATTTACGCCCATTTCTAGAGCACTACACTACAGCTCTTGGCTTGTCTTCAAAACTTTTACTACTGTCTGACTCATCCTAATCAGTTCTTGTTCTTTTGCTTATTTCTTGACTCCAGAATTCTTTGACACTAGAAAGTTTATCTAACTTTCTGTTTCATATTCATGCCCTAGTACACTCTATCTGTCTATCTATCTATCTATCTATCTATCTATCTATCTATCCATCCTATCTACCTATTATGTGTTTCAGATCGAATCAGGCTTTCTTTCACGTATTAGTCAAGTACTCTACCACTGAGCTATACCCCAGTCCTCGGTTATTTTTACTGAAACATGATCTTTTTGTAAAACTCAAGTCAGCCTTAAACTCACTAGAAAGCCCACACTGGCCTTGAACATGTGAGATCCCCCTTTTTTAGTCTCCCCAGCACTGGAGATACAGGCCTGAACCACCACATCCGGCAACAAAGGTTTGACACGGATGAATGAAGGAATGAATGAACACAGCTTTTGCTAGGAACAAGCTGCAAATGAATGCAATGACTATTCTTACAGTAATTTCTCTCTTTCTTAGATACTAAGTTCACTTAAAAACAAAAGCTCTACAAGTCCATGTGAGTCTGTTATTAATATATATGTATATATATATATATGTGTGTGTGTGTGTGTGTGTATAGAATACAATATACAATATAATACATAATATATAGAATACAGAATATGATAGATGATATATAATAAAATGTATGATGTATTATAACATATATATGATAATGATGTATGATATATATATAATTGTATAGTATATATAATATATACTATATAATAATGTAGTATATAAGTTGGTTTTACTTGTTATTATTATGTTATATTCAATTATTTAATATAATTATTATATATAATACATAAGATATATTGAATATTTTGTTTATATTATGCATTATGTAATATGATATAATATTCTATATTATTAATAGTGTATCATATTAATATTAATATATTATTACATGTTATATATTGTTATTGTATTGTGTGTATTATATAATTATAATTAATATTTATATCACATAATATCATATGTAATATGATTGTATATCATATAATATATAAATATTATAAAATATAGTATATTTTATAATTACATATTATATAATATGATGTGTTATATATTTATTCTTTTCATGAAATTTATCACAGTCGTGGGGATTGCAGGCCACAGGTGGCTGATACTTGATTGAGGAAACTCAGTAAGAACCATTCTCCTTCCCATGCCAGCAGACCACAGAGCTTCCTCAAAATCCTGGAGCAACATAACTTAGACCCACATGTTCCCTCATTTAACTTCTTTGTATCCAATACTTCCTCATCCAGGCTTTACTCGGTAGAAAAGGCTCTGTGCTTTTTAGGGTCAGTGGGTCAGTCAGGCTTGGATCTACTCCTAATCTTGAATCATGAAAAACTGGCAGGCTTAAGATACAGTGCTGGGGGTGGAGGGTGCTTGAGAGATAAATCTATTATTAACAGCACTGGATGCTCTTCTAGAGGACCTAGGTCCAATCCCCAGCACCAACACGACAGCTCACAGCCATCTGAAACTTCAGTTCCAGGGGATGTAGTGCTCTCTTCTGCCATTCTCAAGTACCAAACACACATGGTACAGACTTATAGGCAGCACCCAAGATACATAAAATGAACACACACACATATAGCAAATATATATATATATCAATACATCAATACGTCAATATATACATATACATCTATGAATGACTGGGGACATATCTTAGTTTGTAGCCTGTTGGCCTAGCACACCAGGGTTCATCCCTGGTGCCTCATAGAACAGGTAGAGTGCCTCAGGCCTGGGATCCCACAATCCAGGAGATAAAGAAACCAATGCCAGCAGCTCAAGGTTATTTGCAGCTATACAGAAAATCCCAGCCTGGGCTACTTATGACTTTCCTCAGGAGGACAAGAAATAAGAACAAGAAAGTCCCCCTTGAAGAAGTCCTTCCTAAGGATCCCTATTCCAAGAACCCCACCGGCTCTTTGCTTAATGCTGTAAGCTGAGGCCATCTCAAAGAGGATGCTAAATTGTTTGTTTACAAACAGAATGAGGGGGTGGTTTAGTTAGATCCCTAGGTGTTCTTTCTGACTAATGAACAGACTGGAGGGAATGAAAGGCCAGCTGCCTGGCTGTGAGGGAATCCTGGACCAGCCCAGGATTCACAGGGGAATCCTCAATTGCTTAATGAGTGACTGAGACTCATTAAAGTCCCTCCTCACAAGCTGTCAGAGGCACAGAATGTAGAGCATTCAGTCTCAGGGTCACTGAGGTCAGTGTCAGCCTGAAATAATAGTCCATGGTACCAGTTCAAGGAAACATCAGTACATGGTGTGGGTCCGGTTCTGTGTACAAACGTCTAGGGAAGAAAAAAAAAATCCTCAACTCCCCATGGCAAGGAGATGAAGCTGGCATTCTCAGGATGCTAAATCGGTAAGTTTTCTCTTTTCTATAAGGCTACTAGGGTCCCCTCAGTAAGAAAAACCTGTCTGAATGCTGGCAGTTCTCCTGTATCCTCCAGATCTCCTCTTTGTTTTGACTCCTGACCCAGAAATTCAATGTCAAACAAAAGTTGCTTGCCAGCCCTCCTTGCTTCAGGGAATACACACACACACACACACACACACACACACACACACACACACACACGCCTCCTGCTCATACACCAGTCTCTCAGCTCAGCAATTTCATTCGGATCAAGTGTAATTTATGCATGTGTAGTTTGGTAACGTGTGCCACCCAAATCAGATTTCGTGCCCTTTAGAGGTGACAGCTCCGTGCGAGTAAAAGCCTGCCTTCCTTCCTTCCTTCTTTCCTTCCTTCCTTCCTTCCTTCCTTCCTTCTTTCCTTCCTTCCTTCCTTCCCACGACCGACCTGGCAGTGATTCCCATGGGATAGAATGGAAGCCTCAAGAGGACCATGTTCCGTGTTGTTTGTTTGTTTGTTTGTGTTTGTTTGTTTGACTTGTTTGGCTTTATACAAATTCAGCCTTAAAAGTGGAATAACCATCATTTCATCTGGCCAGCAGCCGGATGCTCCGAGTGCACTGTTTTATTTTATAATTCTGTTCGCAAACTTCTTAGATCTGGGATATTCCTCGTAAGGAAGTGTAAGAACAACACATTTCCCTGCAGCGCTGGATTCATCTACCACCCCCTCGATTCTGAATTCTTGGGAAGCAACCCGTTACCTCCGAGCAACAATTTTGGAGCCCTGTTTCTAAGGACCTCCGAGGTGAGTCCTAAACCAAACAGCAGGACATTGAGACTCCAGCCCACCCTCCCTGCGGACCACCGCAGCAGCCCAGTGACAGCTCCACAAGCCCACAGCTCAAGCCTTTTCCTGTCCTGAAGTTCCTTACCTGGTCACTGCGCTGACTCTCTGGTACCCGGAGTCCTGGGAGCAGCACTGCTACCAGCGCGAATCAGATCCTAGCACCGCAGGCTTCCGGACAGTCGTTTCCCCCCAGGGATAGAGTAACTCAGACGTGGGTTGAGCATACGGACTCTTAAAATCTACCTTTAGGCTCGACCCTGCCTTCCTCGTGTTGCTGTGCAGGAGGTACTGGGAGGAGCTTGGTGGCCCGGCCTCCTGACAGCTCCTAGTTGCTGCGACTCAGGTTCACATCAGCTCTAGCTCCAGGGCCAGCCACCGCTTGGACCTCCTCAACTGCCCATGCGTGAATCCTGACAGTGCTTGGGGAGTGATGGGCGCCTAGTTTCCTAGTCTGACACCGGTTTTTCACCTAGTTCGCGACGAGCTGTGCCCATCCCCAAGCCTATCTTTCTAGTTCCATCCTGTTCTCGAAATCCGCTAAATTCACAGAATCACTGCCCACCGGTGGAGAATCTAAAAGGTTCTGGGCAGCTCGTATTTTGATACTTTGTACCCAGAATCCGGCTTCACTCCTGGAGGAGTGACTGTGTTCCAGACTAGAAGGCCAGTCACTACCTGACTGTTTTTGCCTTGATGACTTTGAGGGACGTAGTAATTGAAGAGTCCGTCTCATATAGCTCAGTCTGACTAGGTTATTAATTGCTTGATGTAAAGGCATTTCCATGCAAATACAAACATTCCCTCCAAGGGCGTGGGGGTGGGGATGGCGATGTGAAAGCTTCAGTAGAGGAGCAGAAATTTGGAAGATTCTTGAGGGCTCCTTCTCAGACGTATAAAAAAGTGTAAACAACGGGGGGGCGAGGCGGCGGGGGATTGGAGACTCTGTGAACGGAAGAACTGAGGAGAGATTTGGCTTGCTAGGATGCATGCAAATATGCCGGGAGCTCCAGGGTTGCGGCTTTAATGAGTCATCGCTCTCACCCACGGTGTTGTGTGGCAGTGATGCAGTTGCTCCTTCCTGCTCCCGTGAGCAACCCTCGATCCAGACTTCTTTTAGGAGCCCTAATACCAACTCACTGGTTCGCCAAGTTAGACATTGGGGAAATTGTTCTATGGGTCAGTCTGGGTTTCCTTTCTGGGTGCATTAACTCGTGTGTTGTATCGCCCCACAAAGGCTGTCACACAACCCTGTTTTCTCCTCAAACCCGTCTTCTAATAATTTTTGAACATCTTCATCTAACGCTATTTAGAAACTTTAGGGAAATTAGGTTGAAATTTCTATGTTGTTTTACACTTCTGATTATTTTTGGTTAGGTTAAGTTTCACTTAGTCTTTATGAGCTTTTAAACAATGATTTTCTGCAGGTGAGAGGGTGGATAGTTGAGTATGGAGTAGTCGTGACGGTACAGAAAGGAGCTCAAAGTTGGAACAAGACACCACAAGACCAAGTTCTTAGCACCGAGATTCATTTGCCCTAGGGTGAGACAAATATGTGTGTGTGTGTGTGCATGTGTGTGTGTGTGTATACACATGTATATCTACACACAAAATTATATATATATATATATATATATATATGACAGAGGACAAGGTGGAAAGGAAGAGAAATAAGGTAGAGAGGGGAGAAAGGGACAAAGGAGAGTAGGAAGGGACTGCCTCTAGATAAAGAAGAGACAGATGTGGCCCAAAGGAAAATGGTGTTTTTTTATAAAAGGAAAAGGGAAACTTAAATGAGGTGTTTCATTCTAATTGAGTGTATTAATTAGGTGGGCCAAAAGGAGGCTTCTGATTGCTGAACTGTAATATTTTGATAGTTGAACCTTGGTAGTCAACCTCAGGAGGAAGAAGTGGCCAAATAAGGAACTGATTAAGGTGGCTAGCTTTAAGAATGTAAAGAACAGTTTAGCATAAACTTTAAGAATGTAAGAACAGTTTAGCATAAACTTTAAGAATGTAAGGACAGTTTGGCAAGACAAAGGGATGGGGGAGAAGGACGGGGGCTGCCAGAGCCACGTTTGCCTTGCTCAGGCCTGCTAGAGCCCCTTAGGATGGGAACACAGTAACCGAGAACTACTTGTAGGATGTTTATAGAGGCCTGCAGGTGATAATCAGTGGTAGGGCACTTGCCTAGTATGCATGAGGTCCTTAAGGACCAGCCTGCCTCCATTTTAGTAAAGACAAGCTAGGTTCATTCCTGTTTATGATTAAACCTGTTTCTCAAAGTTTGGGCTATGCTCTACCTGTAACTGTGAAACTGAAACAGGCGCCACATTGTTATACATTGTTACTAAGTCTCGGTTCCTTACAAGAAGTGTCTGTTTCCTATGCCCAGTGTGTCCTGAAAGCTATGTTTTTCTGTCTACACTGCTCTTGTAACCCCGTGATGAACGTTCATTCTTTTGCCTTGCTAAACTTCTGAACCTGTGACATATGCTTGCCCTTTTGCCTTAGAAAGCATGCCTTCCCAGATACTCTGACGACTCTCCTTCCACATGTTATATTCCTGCACTTCTTTGTCTTCTTTTTAACAGTCCATTATCCTGGCAGCTGTTTTCTATCACAGTTTACCCCACAGAAACCCTTGAGGCCTGAGTTCCCTGCTCTTCCGTCTAGGTACTAATAGCTAACTATCCCCATAATCGGGGCCTCAAAAACTGGTGAGGGTCTGCTCCCTGAAATCCCGCTTTTGGGAGAGACAACTGGTCAGTCTAAGTAAAGTTTACTTTAATCATAATGTTGCGGAAATGCTCCCCACCCCACCAATGTCAGGTCTAGGGTAACTTTAACTACAGATGGTTCTGTAATGCCTGCTCCAGAAATGAACCATGCCTTTGTTTCAAAAAGTTGTATATAACCATCTTGCAACCCTCCCTATGTTTCAAAAGGTTATATGACCATCTATGACAACCTTGTTATGACTGTGTGTTATGACTAATAGATTTCTCCGTCAACTCAGTATGCCACTTCAAGGTGAATCAAATCTATAAAGGTAAATTTATTGAGAGACAGATAGCAGGCTGCTTCACAGATCTCACAGGAGGAGTTATGTGGAGTTGAACACCTGGATTAAGGCAAAGGGGTTTCGTAGAGCTGAGGCAAGGAGTGATAGCGTGTCAGCTCATAGCTGGGATTATGTTCATACATGGGCAAAACCTGACACCTCCCACCCCCACCCCCCGGTGGTCACTATTGTGTGGGTTGCCAGAAACTGAAGATGAGGGATGATGATTGTTAGACAGTCTTCTCCTTGAGGGAGGGGATCAGGGAAGGACTGCAGACAGGGTTTCATGGCTTGGCGGGGGGGGCAAGGAGGTGGAGGGGGTGGGGGTGGTGAGAAGGTGTTCACTTAACATGACTATCTTTTTATGTCCACCTTGCAACCCTGTCTTTGTTTCAGGAGGGACTAACTTGTTATTCTTATGGTCTGCTCCCGTAGCCTTCCCTATTTTTCCTTTCCTCTGAGTTTTAAAAGCCTTCTCTTCCTCACTTCCAAGACTGACCTCTGGAACTCCACCTTAGGAGGAGGCAGCAGCTGTACATGAATAATAATAATGATGATAAAAAGCTTGTTTTAATTAATTGCTTGCTTTAATGAATTTGGCCATGATGGTTTGGGCACTTGGTCTTTTTCTCCTCCCATCTTTGGGATTAACAGTCCTAGGTTCAGCCTTCAGTTTCACAAAATAACATTTGTGGGGTTTAAACAAAACCCAAACCCAAAGAAACAAACAAGGTTAAGATATGGCTGTAGCTCACATGGGAGCAAATGAAGAGGGTGAGAACCTGGAAGTGATATGGAATCTTCCTGGATATGTGGGATGCTTTCTTGTGGTACACCTTTCCTAGTGGCGTCTTTAATGCGGGGACAAGGAGAGGAAGGTCACCTGTGCTTAGAACCTGGGAGGGAGATGAAGAAGAGCCAGTTTCCACTGGCCACAGCAGGGCAACTACACACATTAAATCATAACAGTTGACAGAACGCACAAGCTCTCTGAAAGTACAAGCCTGATCAAGTCTCAGTATGGAAAGGCGAGATAGACATGAAGTCCCACCCCTAGATAGAGTTATTGGCAATTGGTAGCTTCTGATAGAGGGACAGTCAGCTTTCTTTAAAAATGTTGTACACTGGTAGGTTGACCACGCTCCAGTGGAAGTTCACACACCCATGAATATATGGGCAGCACCAATGGACTTGACCTATGGGGCGGGGGAGGTGCAGAGCTTTGTAGATAGGGTGGAGGGGGTGGATCTAGGAGGAGTTACAAAAATGCCAAGAATAAATCTTTTTAAAAATGATATAATATACTCATTTCCCTGAAATCTAATCAAAATAGAAAAATGAAAGTCAGAAGTAGATAGTCTTTCATAAGCCTGTTGTGGGGTATCCTCCAGAGAAGACTGCTCAGACATGGGTTTAAGCCAATAGAAATTTTTTAATAGCCGGCCATCAACTACACTAGGTGTTTAGGTTTCAGTGTAGCCCTGAGTTGATATACTTCAGTTAGAAAAAACAGTCAGAGGCAGAACTACTGAAGTCAAAAGTAAGGTTAGTATATTTAATTTCCCAGAATTATGGACATTGATGCATTACTAGGCCTTTGTTTTCATTTCCGTAGGTGGTGCTGTCCACATGCTGGTTTTAAGATCTGATTGGGATTACATCATGGTCTCAGTTGTACTAAAGTCTGGAGCCCTGTTACATTCTCCGCTGGTCTTAGTGACGGAGTCAAATTGTTGACTCATCCTGCTTTAAAGAGGTGTAGTTGTTTCTAAGGACCATTAATTTTACTGAATGGATACACAGTTGGCCCATAGTTTAAGATACAGGGCTCCACCAGTAATTCATTCAAAATGAGAATTAAAGGCCCAGCCAAGGCTGATAGCAGAGTAGCTAACCCTGGGGCAACAAGAGAACAGAAACTGGTATTAATTATCTGGTTAACGTCTTTGTCTCTCTAAATTACTCCTGATCAATTAGCATGGAAACAACATTTTTTTTTCTCCAAAGACAGACATAATTTCCTTTATCTCATGAGAAGCAAGTCTAAGCCTCTCTAATTTTGTAGGACCAATCCTTCAAGGACTCTAACTTGTTTTGATACCTTTAGGTTCTCATCAGCCTAGTCAAACCATTAGTATATGCCCAGCAAGTAGTCTCAGGGACTCGGTGATATCACTATTATCCAGATGAGTTAACCTGTAAGGCAGAACAGCAGGCATTGGAATAAAGGGAAGTGTATAGGATATTAGACAAGTATGGATATTAGACAAGTTTTCAGCCTTGTAAGTCCTCTAATTTTAAGTTTGACTGCCCTCAATCACAACGAGTTTTGTCAGTCAGTGAGCTGATGGTCTAGG